TGGTTGCTTTTTTGTTGTTTGTTAGTTTAATTTGAAGATTAAAATAACTCCTACCACTATGGAGGCATTATATATTTCTAAACTATTTACTTTTGTATTATTACTCTAGAAGTTTCAAAATCATTTCCCCACACGTGCGCTTCTCTCGCTCAACACAGGAGCTGCCCCCTGGTGGTTAGTGTGCTCCCACTGTTGTTTTTCCTCTCTCTCTCTCTCTCTCTCTCTCTCTCTCTCCCCCTCCTGCCATGGCTCCATTTGATTACAGAGGAATAGTGCGAACCTTATGAAATGCCAGCCTCATACCCTGCATTAGTAGAATTGAACATCTGTTTTCTGCCATTTAACCTGTGGCGTAAGTTCTATCCTTCACATTCTCCAGCTGGATTGGTACTTAAAACAAATGGATTCTCCAAAAGCACCAGCAGATAAGGATACAGTTACCCATGCAGACAGGTTTCCTTAGTGGGGACATTCATGATCAACTGGGCGAAGGGCTGTTTCCTAGTCTCCCCATCCTCCTACAGAACGTTCTGGGGGATCAGATTATTCTCTTCCTTTTTCTCAACAGGGAAACTATGTGTCTGCAAGAGCTTATTATGAGCGAGCCTTACTGCTGGTTCCAGACAGCAAACTGCTGCAGGAAAATCTGGCCAAATTGGATCGCCTAGAAAAACGATTACAAGAAGTTCGAGAAAAGGATCAACTATAGCAGCATTGGATGTCGTCTGGAGGGACGGTTGCTGGTGCCTCTGGAGGAGGAAGTGATGGAGGCCTTGCTGTCACATCAGCAGGACAACCAACGGAGCTTTCCTCTCACTCCCAGTCCAGGGGGCACATTTGGAGACACTCGCTGGTAACCGTGTGCTGTGGGACTTGCAGCTCCATGAAAAAAAAGATAAAAAAGAGCAAGCAAGAGAAGGAGGCCGGAGAGGGAAGGAATACAACAGCATTTTACAGATTTTTGTTGTTGTTGTTGCTTTAACTCCAAATTTCCCTCCATATATTTCTCTGCTTTTGCAACCCAGAGATCTGGTTCTCTCTCCTAGTTTAAGCTTTTATGTCCCAGTAATACAGAAATTAGAAATGCTATGAAGTCAGATCTTTGCTTCTTAATGGGATATTTCGAAGAGGATAATTCCTCTGAGATAAGCCATTTGGGAAATTCTACCAAGAGGTGGCTCATTTAATTTTCCAGAACCAGAAAGGAGTATCAAATAATTTTTTGTAGAACCTTCCAGAATATGTGGAGAAAGGGGCTGTTGTTAAGTGAGCTTGATCTAATATTCCCCTAAAGATATTGCTGGAGCCCTACGGAATAGTAAATTAAATTCCACTCTGATGCAAGTTTTTCCCATCGCCTAACATATATAAAAAAGGAAGCTTCTGGAATTATGTATGGATATTCTTATCCCTAGGGGAAAATCAAGAATCTTGGTCCCCCTAATTCTTTATGGAAAATTCAAATTTATTACAAGTAGAGTAGTAGTTCTGCTCTAAGATTTCAAAAGTACTTTTAAAATCATAAATGTTTCTGCCTCCACAAATATTATTATTTTGGTGAAGAAAAAATAGTATATTCTACATGAGAATTATTAAAGATGTTAACTGAGAGAAATGTTCTACTTTATTATTTTAACATTTAGACATCATGAGATTTATTATTTTTTGAAAAATATATTTAACCACCTAGGAATCTTTACAGTATATCACAGAAATCTTCATAGACTCTGGACTAAATGGAAAGAGAGCTTTATTATTTTGTCTTCCTAGGCTCAATGAGAATTCTGTGCTTAGAATGTGAGTGATGTAAACCCAGAATTCTTGGTTCTGTATTTGTAATTTTGGAGAATTCATAGAGAATGCTCAAAAAAAATCTAGGAAAAAATTCTAAATTTATAATTTAAAAAATATATATTTATATTTTAAAATAAGGAAGGCAAAGTTGAACTTATCAATTGACATTTGTTTTTAGTGTTATTTATTTCATAACTTATAAAATATTTAATATATGTACACACAGGTTTTTTTTTCATTGTACATAGTTGTTTTAATAACAGCTTTTAAAACCGATCATACAAGCATTATAAATCTAAATTACAAAGCAGTTAAGTCTTAACAGCGCCTCAAAAAAGTTGCTGTTAAGATTATTCACTTGCTAAAGTTAACAAAATTGGGGCTCAGCCTCTTCAGGGTTTGGGGTAGTAGGATATTTGGTATATATTTTGAAATTGGAATACCTCGTTTTAATTTGGTCATTATCATAAAAAATTAAACAAAACCTCTGAGCAGTGCTATTCATGATGCTGAGCCAGGTTCCATGGAGATACAGTAATTTGAAGGCACACATATTTCCCATGCTTAGGCCAGGTATGGTAAAAAAAATAAAATAAAATAAAAAAAACTCTTCTGCTCCTTTTCACCCCAGTATCAGAGAGCAGTGCCCCTGTAAGTTTTTTTTGGCGGGGGTCAGGAGGGAGAGGAAAGGTCTAGATAAAGGGGGGGGGGACTTCTTTAGAAAATGATGGTACAAGGAATATTTTAAATGCAAAGGATTATAGAAATTGCATTAGCATATATCTGTGTACATCAATAATCCAATAATTTTTATATTACCATTCTGATCTTCTGTTTTTAATACTCTTTTAATGTTGTATATCAAAAATTTTTCCAAAATTTTATTTAAAGTATTTTTATTTCTCTCATAAAAATATATTTCTATAGTCTTAAGGCCAAGAAAGGTTCCACAGTACATTTGAAAAATATACTATTATTATACCTACCCCTATAATTAATAATATGAAGCTCTACCTAAAACTAATATCTAGGGCTTTGATCACAACTTTTTAGAATGATCTGTAACCAAAACTCACACCTAGAAAGTTCATGGGAAAGACTGAGCCCCAAATTTTGAAAAGCAATTATGCCTTACTTGCTGAAGTGCTATGAAAGCTATGAGAGTGCATTTGTTGGATTAATTGAAATAGCAATTACAGCCTAAAGGTCTCGGGAGGTGGGGTGGGGGGGGGAACGGTGGGGAGAAGGGTCACATGGCCTTCAGGAGACTTTTTCTGTCTTCTTTTGGGTGCTTCCCCTCCCCCAACTCCATGTCTGTTTTTGTTTTTGTTTTCTCTCTCTCTCCCTTCCCCCCTACCCCCTTTCTCATTCTGTGTGCACATTAAAATTTAGCACTGTTACATCAGGTATTTTGTCCTGAGTAAATACCTTCACTGAGATGTGGCCAATGAAGTAATTTTCATAGTTGAAATGGTGCCTATAAGAAAATAAATCACATTATTTTTTCAAGGATATTAAGTATATTTTTAACTATTTTTGTTTGGTCCTTGTAACATGAAGTAATATGTGGAATCCATGCTTATCAAAATAAAAGCTGAGTGCCCTGGCTAGTCGTGGAGGTGCATCCAGGTTGCCCTTCAGGAAGCGTGACTGGCACGCAAGTCGATAGCCCCTCTCTGCGATGGAATTGCAGAGCCTGCTTCATGGATGTGCAGTCTACACAGTCCCTCAGGGTCCTGTGCCCAGGAGCACCTCATGCTTGGTTGAATTCCCTGATAGAAATTCTTAATAATTTTGAAAAGGATTCCTGCAATTTTATTTTGTCCTAGGGCCTTAAATATGTAGCAGGTGCTGAGTAGGAGACGGTGGCTAAGGAGTTGCTTTAGTCTGGCTGAACACTTGATCCAATGATCAGAGTTTCATTTGTGACTGTTACTCTGAGCATCATTTGCTGTTTTTCTTAGCTACATTAGAGTTCCTTGTGTACACATCTCCCCTCTCCTACTGCCAATCTGTCTAACCTGTCCATCAGTCCTACCCAGGACCCATTCTCTTTGCCTTCAAAATCCCCATAGGTGGCAGGCCTTTGACATAGGAGCCATGAAAATGGCTTTACAACATTATTCAGGATTTTTAAAACGATTCAGTTGTTTTCAGTTTGTTAATGGCATTCATAAGACATGGTTCAGTGATGTAACATAGTTGAACTAAACCAAAGATTTAAATACCTTGGAGGAAATTAAATTTTATTTTAGAAACTCCTGATTCTATTATGCAGTTAGACCACAGGCTAACAACTTCAATGGGAGTTTATGAATTTTACAAAAGAGATGTTTATAATATTTCACAAAAGAGATGTTTATAATCTTTTGCAGTTTTAACTTTTAAATCTAGACTAAAATGAGCCAAAGAATTCTTAAGAAGGATTGATTTGTGGCACAATTGGTTGGTTGAGGTTACCATTTCAAGATTGACAAACCTGGTGGGTTGGTGGGGTGGTTTTACACTCGTGGCAACTGAGCTATAATTTGACCTATATTTACAGAGTTCTTAATTCTAAGATGGACAGGAATTGCCTTGCCACTTACATGTACCCAGACAAGGTGCTGAGTATATAAAACTCATATTTTTTTATGACTCAAAGAAGGTGTCCATGATAGAGAGTTTATGCCTAGATCCTATAATTCTCTTTCTTTGGGTTAATTATACACATGTCAGCTTTTATTAATTATTTATTAATTGTACTCATTAGAATCAATTTAAAAAACAACAACAATTTTGCTCTGATTTGTGATAGATTTGTACCTTAAATCTATAGAGCATTAATAACAATAATCAAAGGAAATATAGTTACAGGTAGTTTGTTTTCTATTTTTACCCTGATTTCCATATCACATTTACTTGGATTAAACTGTATGTTGATATTTCCCAGTAATAGCAAAGCTTATCTAAGTGCCATCTTTTAGCATTTAAAGAGAGAGAAAATATATAGGGAAATATTATAACTTTTTTATTATTCTTGACGTTTTTTATGTAAAAGAACAATATGTTAAACACTTCTTCCAACAATAGCACTTTTTCATTATTTTTTAGTAACCATGTAACTTAAAGAAAAGAAGTAAAATAACTGCAATCAAAGGTATGGTTTAATATCAATCAAGAAAATGGCACAATAGAATTGATGGTATTCCTATCTATCCATTGTCTTGTATAAAATGTTCCATTATTATTACCAAGGGTCCTTGCAATTAAAACCTTAGGGTATGTAACTCATAAAATTAGCACCTATCACAATATACAATCATTATTAATTTGCAAGTTTAGATCACCATTTACCCCAAACTGGAAACAGATGTCTACATCCAGAAATCCAGAAGTTTCTTCCCATTCTCAGTGGTGCCCGTGGTGAACATGTGCATCACATTTGGAAGTCTCCAATGCACATAATCTCCTCCTGAGGTCGTCTTGCTGGTCCGTAAGGGGATGCACCAAGTCAGGAGTCCAGAGGTCTGGGTTCCTAGTCCCTCCTCTGCCACCGAGGAGCCGCCTCACCCTGGGCAGGTTACCAGTGTCTCAGTCATTGTTTCTCACACATTAAAGAACCGGTTAGTTCTAAGAAACTATCAAGCTCTATGAGTCTCCTGACCCAGATTGAAAGCCCTCTACATCTGAAGATGTAACTGATAGTGTTGCCCTTTGTTTTAGAAATGCTTAAGATAATCACCACAACAGAACACATACACAAACAACCCTGAAAGTGATTGGACTTCCCAAGTGCTTTCCCATGGCAGAGAAACCTACTCTTATTTTACATCCTGGACACATAAAAATTAGTGATTTCGCCCAAGTGCTTTCCCATGGCAGAGAAACCTTTTATTTTACATCCTGGACACATAAAAATTAGTGATTTCGTTATGTTTCTGGGGAAAAAAGATGTTTAAAAATTTCCTCCTCAGAAATTAAAATATCTGTAGAAGCCATGGCTTGCTTTTATAATGTGGCTATCATTTGACTTGCTGTAACTCACACCAATCCCTCCTTTTTTCAGGGGAAAATGACTTGCGTCATGTTCTTTGTTCATAATGCTTTTATTTCCTACTTTGATCAGTTGTATATAAATATACATTTTTGTTATGTTTGCTGTGCCGGTTAGGAATATATCTCCCATGTAAGTCTGATTATGTACACTTTGCCTAGGTCTTTCCAAAATAAAATTTATGTAAATGTCTATTTTATATAAAATATGATGAAAATAACTGTCTTGTTTCAATCTCTAAAGCGCTCCATGATTAGTACCCATTGAAATCCATGTCACCAGTCGGTGTCTGCTTTAAAAGTGAGAAAGACCACCTTCCGTCCTTCCCTCGTTTATTCAGTCAGTGCATTGCATTGCTTTGTTCTGTGTGCTTTGAGTCTGCTCTCTCTCCCATACGCCACAATGACTATGTCAATACTTAACTCTTTATACATCTCCTCCCTCATGTTGCTGAGTAGATGCCTTTACAGAGTAAATACAAGGTAGAAAACAGGAACTCTCTCAGCATCCTGCACTCCATCTACAAACTTACCTGCACCCAATACTTTCTTCTCCCCTTTTGCTGCAATGGAACAAAAGGACCCTATTTTGCCTCTTGTAGAACTTCATTCTATTCCTGAACCTCTTTTTCATCTATAACGTGTTCCTTTTGCTGGTTCTTGTCCATGCGCTTCCATTTTATTGATTTACTAGAGGCCCAATGCACGAATTCATGCATGGGTGGGGTCCTTCAGCCTGGCTGGTGATTGGGGCCATCTCGCCCAGTCCTGATCGGGCCGATTGGGCCGGCCAGCCAGCCAGGGGGAGGGACCACTGGAGGTTGGCTGTGGGAGCGCACTGACCACCGGGGGGCAGCTCCTGCATTGAGCATCTGTCTGCCCCCTGGTGGTCAGTACACGTCATAGTGACTGGTCATAAGGGTCGCTTAGGCTTTTATATAGAGAGATTTTTAATTTCTTTATTATTGAAAGTATTACAGATATCCCCTTTTCCCCCATTGACCCCTTCTAGCCCACA